CTTGTGCCCCTCACCCTCCTGCCTGGAGCAACAGCTATGAGGTGGGGAGCCCCAGTGTTTCCCCCAGGACATCCTCAGGTTTGAGGTCGAGGTCCCTGCCAAGACAACTGCTAGCCCACAGGTCTTTGTGTGAATTATCAAAGAGATGTCCTCTCTTCCTTTCCTTACTTCTGTCTGTTGACATTTGCCAAAATCAATATTGGTTTTATAAACTCATGACACATTGACACCCACCAGAAAGCTGTCATAAATCTGGAATCCCAGTATGCCCATTGAGTGAATGGCAGTGCTGAGTTACGCAGTGCGCAGCCTGCACCACTGTGCACGGGAACTGGCCCTGCACCTCTCCAAGGGGGCAGCAGTGGGGTTCTCACTACAGTCCTCCAGCACATTCTTGGCCACCGGGGCCTTGCACTCACCGTGGGGTCTGGTACTGGGTGGGCGACTGCAGGTTCTGCTCGATGCGCTGGTAGTTTTGCACCTGTGTGGGCACTGGGATGGGGACGGACGCGCCACACCTGCTGCTGGAGAACGGGCCAGCCCGCCTGTGTGTGTAAAGGCATGGGGCAGGGTCAATGGAGACGGCAGTGGGCTGAATCCCAGGCCCAAACATCCTGCACACGCTCAGCACTGCTGTCATCGGCACAGGGACCCCTTCCACTCTCTGCACCCATGTGGCTTCTGGTTGGGGCCAGCCATGGGACACACCGTAGGAGTGGGGGCAACAAAGGACAGCACAGCTGGGCCAGCTCCTGCCAGCTCTGGGAGCCCACACCCACCCAGCCTGCAGGCCCAGGGGTGCTGGTCCCAGTGGTTCCCGTAGCCACCCACCCCTGGTGGCACATCCTGCCACCAGTCCCTTCTGCTGGACCACCCATGAGGAGCCTAGTGTCCTGCCAGGCCCAAATGAAGTGCCCCGGACACAGCCCACAGCCAACTTAAAGCTAGGGGAAGCCCCAACTCTGGCTCTGGACCCACCCCCCAACCCCTCCCGGACCCCAGCAGGGTACTTACCCTGAGGGGCTGGGGGAGCTGCTGCAGGGCGGGGATGGAGACGGGGTCCGGCCATGGCTTTCCAAGCCGGCTGAGGCCACCAGCGAGCTCCTGGTGGGGACAGAGCAGACGGGCAGCCAGACGTGTGCACAGACCCTGGCCCTCCCTATGGCCCGTCCTACCCTGGGCACAGCTGACTTGGCCTTTCCTGAACGCCTGGACCCAGATGGCAAAGGAGCCAAGTGTGGGAGCCAACGCTTCCCTCTCCCCGGCGAGGTGGCTTGGGGAGAGCTTACCCGCTGCACATCAGGCTGTCCGGCGGGGGCTTGCCACTGGCTGCTTCGGCCACCAGGTCACCTGCGGACAGGAGACAGGCAAGGCTGGCATCTCTCAAATCAGGACGAGTGGGAACTCTGAGGCCACCTCACCCGCATGGCTGCCTGACAGCCCCACACAAGATTCTGACAGAGGGCGGGGGCTGCAGGAAGGGTGGCTTTGTGAAACGAGGGTGCCTCTTCCTGGGGGAGGGCCGGGGTGCCACGCTGAGCTCAGCGGTCTGTTGTCCCNTAAAGCTAGGGGAAGCCCCAACTCTGGCTCTGGACCCACCCCCCAACCCCTCCCGGACCCCAGCAGGGTACTTACCCTGAGGGGCTGGGGGAGCTGCTGCAGGGCGGGGATGGAGACGGGGTCCGGCCATGGCTTTCCAAGCCGGCTGAGGCCACCAGCGAGCTCCTGGTGGGGACAGAGCAGACGGGCAGCCAGACGTGTGCACAGACCCTGGCCCTCCCTATGGCCCGTCCTACCCTGGGCACAGCTGATTTGGCCTTTCCTGAACGCCTGGACCCAGATGGCAAAGGAGCCAAGTGTGGGAGCCAACGCTTCCCTCTCCCCGGCGAGGTGGCTTGGGGAGAGCTTACCCGCTGCACATCAGGCTGTCCGGCGGGGGCTTGCCACTGGCTGCTTCGGCCACCAGGTCACCTGCGGACAGGAGACAGGCAAGGCTGGCATCTCTCAAATCAGGACGAGTGGGAACTCTGAGGCCACCTCACCCGCATGGCTGCCTGACGGCCCCACACAAGATTCTGACAGAGGGCGGGGGCTGCAGGAAGGGTGGCTTTGTGAAACGAGGGTGCCTCTTCCTGGGGGAGGGCCGGGGTGCCACGCTGAGCTCAGCGGTCTGTTGTCCCTCCTTCCGTCACTTGTATTAGAAACTCCCTTTGCCTGCCTGGACATCCGGGGTTCTCGAAGGACACCCTGGATCCCCCTGCCTCCCCCCATCCTCCGGCCAACTCCAGGCCAGGCGTGCACAGGTCCCAGTGTGAGCCTGACCCCTCGCCCAGGAGCCCTGACCCCACAGCGGTCCCGTCTTCCTGCCGCCATCCTCGCTCTGCCCAGGCTGGGCAAAGGGCGCCACAGCGGGGCGGACACGCTCAGTCTGCGTCACTGCCGCACCCACTGGACACCAGGGCCCGCCCCTCCCCAGCCTAGGCCTGGAGTCTCGGGGAGACCAAGGGCAGCAAAAGGAAGTGCCAGGCCACGAAAGGCACTCAGGACCCCACGACAGGGCTTTGGGGGCTCGGCCAGTCTGGAGGTCTGAGCACGTCTGCTCAGCAAATACTGAGTAGCAGCAGTGCCTCCCCGAGCGACACTGGGGGGCTTTCGGCTCGCAATCGAGAGCGGCAACACAGGTGAGGGGTGTACTAGGAGCTACGGAGGAGGAGGACAAGCAGGGCGGGGTGTGGGGAGGGCCAGGCCCACGCCACACCCACTGACCACTGGCAACTTGGTTTTGACCCTGTGGCCAAGCTGACCTGGTGTAGAAGCTTCCAGAAGGCTATCTGAGGGCCCACGGATGGACACAGGTCTGCGACCACATGCACACGGGTCCCTCCAGCACATCTGCTCCATCCCCCACCCCCAACCCCCTGCCCACACACTGCAGCCCCCTGACCTGGAAACTGAGCCGGGACCATGACAAAGTCGTCGGTGTCACAGGACGAGTCCTTGCTGCTGCCACCTGAGTCCCGGGAACCCTGCAGGAAGCCGGCNGCCATGGAGCCCACACTCACCCTGCTTCACGGTGGATGACAGGCAGAGCTTGCCAGCCCGAATCTGGTCGATGGCAGTCTGCAGGCCAGAGGACAGCAGCTCGGCCACCTTCAGGTAAAGCACCAGCTGCTCTGCGAAGCTGGAGAGGGGGAGCAGGAGGCATGTCAGGTGGCTCTGAGGCCCCACACCCCAGGCCACCTCCCCACCAGGCCTGCCGGGCACACCCACCCCCACTCGCGGCTCAGCAGGCTGATCTGGTCGGCCACCACGCTCTCCTGTAGCTGGTACTCAGGGCCCCCAGCCGTCTCGCTGGCACTGCCCTTCAGGGCGGCAATCTCCAGGACGTGCTGGACAAAGACGAGCGTGAAACGCAGGCTGTGCAAGATCTCTGTGTGCTCTTGCTGTGAGAAGCAGGACGAGACCTTAGGGCCTGGGACCGGGGTGCTCCAGGGGGCCCCAAGCCTGGAGGCCTCTGCTCTGCCCCTCCCCTGCCTGGAGTCAGCATCCAAACCCCAGAGGCAGGTGTGCTCCAGCAGTGGAGGGGCGACGTCGGGCCTCATGCCTGCGCCCCGCTCCTCACCTCCATCAGGGTCTCCTCGGGGAGGTCAGGGGCCTCGAAGGTCACGGCCCCCTCCAGGTTGGCGGCGACGGGGTCAGCAAAGCTGCAGCAGTGGCCAGGGGCGAGGGCCTCGGGGGCAGCCTCGCTGCAGGCCCCGGGCACCAGGTGGCGGGCGGAGGCAGAGCCAGCCGAGCTGAGGGAGCTGGAGGAGCCCACTGCGGGGAGAGCCCCAATTGAGGAACGCTCCCACCCCAGGGAGAGTCCTCCCCGGCACATACCCAGTCCCCACCCCTCTGGGCCGCGGGTCCCCGCTGTACACGCCTTCCCTCCCACTCCAAGAGGGACCCACAGTGGAGGCCTTGTCCCTCCTGGCCTCCCACCTACTGTAGTCTGGGTTGTGGGGGCCTATCTGCGTGGCCTGCGCTCGCCCAGGGGAGGCCCCAAACCCAGGACTCGTGAGCCTACAAGGACCACCATCCCAGTGCAGCTGGAATCGGACTGGTGTCCTGGGAGTCCAGCACTGTCCCACCTACGAGGGGCCCTGTGACAGTCCTCACCTGAAAACATCCTGGTGCGGGGACCCTGGGGCGGCGTGGCCCCACTCGGGGGCGAGCCCACAGTGAACACCACGGGCGAAGGGCTGCTGGCCCCTCC